AAATTTCCAATTGCTGCTTGTCATTATCACAAAATTAGTGACTTGAAATCACCCGAAGGTATTATCTTATAATGCTGGAGGTTAGGAATCTGACCCGGGTCTCACTGAGCTAGCAGGGCTCCAGAAGAGAATCGGTTGCCTTGAGGTTTCCACCTGCATTCCTTGGCTGGTGCCCTGCCGCAGTCCGGCTGCAGCAAAATAACCGAGGGTGACGAATAACTTGTGTACGTTGATACAGCAGGAGTGGAAGCCGTTTATTGTAGGACAACAGAGGTATTTATACATTTTGCACAGCTTATCTTAATTAGCATAAACTAGATACATCAGTCAACCAATAAGGAATCTCCACACTTAATGGCTTGCTTTTGTTACTTCTCAAACCACTCCCTCTGGCATTTTGCCAGGCACCATCCAGACTTGTTTACAAACTCTAACATTTCCCTGGCAAAATACCAGGTGTTATTTTGACTTGTTTACAGACTCTAACAGTGGCCCCCTTCCATCTTCCAAACGGGAAGTCACAGCGCCCCAGCATCCCTCTGACCCTCACTCTATCCCCTCACTTTCACTGAAAGGACCCTTGTGATGAATCCAGGGTCTCTCCCCATCTCAAGATCAGCTGATTAGCAACTTGGATTCCACCTGCAGGAAGAAACAAACAGACATAATTTCATCCACGATATTACTTCCCCCTTCCCAGGCAGCATAATGTTGGATGTCTTTAGAGAACCATCATTTTTGCCGACCTCAGTCAACCACCGAAGGGTTGGAAGCCAGGGAATGACAGGGTGAGACCTGCAATTTTAGCATCTTCATATAACTGGCTTGTAAAACAGTCACTTCACAACTGAAGAAAAACTGGGCTTTGCAATAACAAACATTTTCAAAGGCTGAACAGTACACAGCTAATCAATTATTAAGTCTAATAATGATATCTCTCCTTTCTTCGGGGCTTTGAACAACAGTTCTTTCATACATGTGTCTAGATCATTCCCCCTAATGACCAAGTGAGGGTACACAGGACTGTCATAATTGTCCCTGTAGGGATGAGAAAAGAGACCCAAGGACACTCACCTGCTTAGGTTCACAGAGCTGCTACAGCCAGGGCTGGGATGGGGACCTAATCATCAGGGTCCTTTATCATTCCCCTCCCCCTCCTTCCCTCCTTTCTTTCTGTCCTTCCTCTTTTTTTCCCCCAAGTACTGGGGCTTGAACCCAGGGCCTCACACAGGTGAGCACTCTACCTCTAAGTACAACCCCAGCCCTTTAAAAGTTATTCTGAAACATGTTCTCATTGCATTGCCTAGACTGGCCTTGAACCTGTGATCCTTCCACTTCAGCCTTCCAAGTAGATCACAGGCGAGCGCCACCTCACCCAGCTGTCAGCATCTCTTTATTCCATTTGGAGTGGGGCATTCTGGGAAACTCAGTGTCAGCGCATCTTGGGAACAATTTTCCAAGTGTAGTTGGGCACCGAATAAACATGTGTGGAGCTGGTGAAGAGCCCTGCTTCATTCCTGTGGCTCAGATAATGACTGTCAAGGCAGGGCGCCTGAAGCCATCCTAGCATTCCTTCCTTCCCCCCGGAATATCAGCTGCACTGTCCAAACTGTCATCTATGCTGAGTACCCACCCCCTTCTTCCCAGCTTCTTCGTCCACTCTGTACCAGGGCACCATCCTCTCTTGCCTGGGTGGCCACAGTCCACTACTCACCAATTTCCCAAAGGGAAGAGTTAGTAAGGGTAAGAGAGGGACTTAAAATTTAAACCAGATGACCTGGCCTCCTGGGGTAAAGTGTCCCATGCTTTCTGTCACATGGCAGAGAAAACAATGTCAAGGCCCAGTCACGGCCATCGATGGTCCTGCGTGCTGGGCCCCCACTCCACTCTCTAGCCCCATCTCTTACCACCTCCCTCAGCTTCCTCTGCTCTAGCTCTTGACAAAGGCCACATTCTTGTCGCCATGGGTCCTTTGCAGTGCTTTCCCTTCTGTTGGAAATACTCTCTCCACTCTTATAATAGTGTGTCCTTATATCCCAGTCCCCTGTCCCCTCTTCAGAGAGGTTCTCCCTGACTCCCTTTGTGCCTTTGATAGAAAACTTCCCCTTTTGTGAATGTATTATTTGCTAGTTTCATTTGCCTTCTCTCCTAGATCTGAGATGCTCCCTGTGCACCTCCCAGCCACACTTGGCCCTTAAACATTTGACATGTAGTTTGTCTGAATTAAGATGAACTCTGTATAAAACATATACCAGATTTTGGAGACAATACAATAAAAGTGATATAAAATACATGAATAATCCTAAGTATTCTGTGCTGAAATTATAATATTGTAGAAATAGTATGTTAAATAAAATCATTAACAATTAATTTCTTTCTACTTTTTAAATGTGGCTACTAGAAACCTAAATGACACCTGTGGCTGGCGTCCTCTTGGGCAGTGCTGGTCTAGATTGTTAGCTAATGAAGAGAGGAACCATCTCCACCTCGTCCACAGATGTGTGGTACCTAGTACCTCGAATTCAGCAAGTACTTGCTGAATAATTGTGTTTGTATGAGGAAACTCAGCACAGAGAGAACTGAGGCAGGCAGCCTGTTGTGTGCTATGAACTTGAGAAAGAAAGAAAACATGAAGAAAAGGTTTTATCTCCAGTCACCACATTTCAAGTGGACTATGTCCTCTTTTTGTCCTGCTGTGTGCTGACACTTCCCCACAGTCACCTAGTACTACAAGATGGAGAGACAGGGTGATCCCTGGAGGATGGTTTAGCTGCTTCTATGTCAGTCCCATAAGAGATGTCTGATCTCAGTTATGTTATATACTTGGACCTAAACGTACAGAGTTAGCTGGGACCCCATGGGGATTTTCCCAGGGTTGCTCATTCACAAGTCAGAGGTGAACAGAGTCTTGAACCTTGGTCTTCCAGGACTCTTGCCTCTAATTAGATACCATTTTAGTTTCCTAACCCAGAACCCAGGTGATTTGAATACTCCCACATCTCCCTTCCCCTGATTTTACCTCTAATATTTGGGATCCCCAAAGTAGTTATGCCTTGTCCCAGGAGAGCTTGCCCAGCTGACACCATCTTCAGAGGGGTCAGAGTGGATGAAAGGAAGGGATGGGATGATGGATGGATGAATGGGAGAAGGGATGGATGGATGGATGGATGGATGGATGGATGGATGGATGGATGGATGGATGGGATAATGAATGCACAAGTGGGTGGGTGGATGGATAGTAGGATGAAAGGATAGATAGATGGATGGATATGTGGGTAAACGGAAGGATGAATGGATGAATGGGAGGATGGATAGATGGACAGGAGGAAGGAGAAGGGATGGGAGGATGGATGGATGGACAGGAAGAAGGAAGATGGATGGGAGGATGGATGGACAGGAGGAAGGAGGAGGGATGAGAGGAGGGATGGATAGACAGGAGGAAGGAGGAGGGATGGGAGGATGGATGGATGGACAGGAGGAAGGAGGATAATGGGAGGATGGGTGGATGGACAGGAGGAAGGAGGAGGGATGGGAGGATGGATGGACAGGAGGAAAGAGGAGGGATGGGAGGATGGATGGATGGACAGGAGGAAGGAGGATGGATGGGAGGGTGGATGGATGGACTGGAGGAAGGAGGATGGATGGGAGGATGGAGGGATGGATGGACAGGAGGAAGGAGGATGGATGGGAGGGTGGATGGATGAACAGGAGGAAGGAGGATGGGTGGGAGGATGGATGGATGGATGGATGGACAGGAGGAAGGAGGATGGATCAGGGGATGGGTGAATGGACAGAAGGAAGGAGGAGGGATGGGAGGATGGATGGATGGACTGGAGGAAGGAGGATGGATGGGAGGATGGATGGATGGATGGATGGACAGGAGGAAGGA